TTTGCTTTGATTCAGAAGTCAATCGGCATTCATTAAGTCTTAGTAATTGAGTGTTCTCTTCGAATCCTGAGGCGAGGGTGCTTAGCGCGTGGAGTATTCTCTTAAAATCTCTGGGTGGGAACCAAACTCGATCAATCTTGTTGCGCTCGTAAGAAGTTATTATGCCCATCTTCTTATAAGGAAACAAAGGGTGCCCTCTCCTGGGCTCTTTTCCAACAAGCACGAACGAGAGACGACGTTTTTTAAAAATATTTGGCTTTGGTGTATTTCTTGATTCGTTTTATGTTAGCCGTGAAACCAATAAAACAGTGAATGCCAAGCTTTGATATTAAACTAGAAGTAATCTCACGCGCCATGAATGTGTGTAAGACCAAGAGAGTTGTATTCAGCAAGTCGTAGATGATTTCGCAAGGCAAGCAAGGGATGATGGATTTCAGTTAAACGAAAGGAAATGCAAAGAGCTCAGAATTAGCTTCGCAAAGAACGAGCCAGATTTTAAGGCTCTAGAGCTGTCCGGACTTTTAAAACTGTATAATACAAGACAGGACATTGCGGCAAAGTTGTTCGACGAAATATGCGCTAATCAATCTTACCGTCTCCACAATCTACTTCCAAGTAAATGCCAACCAAGCTACTCTCTGAGAGAACAAAGAAGATTTCTTCGTCCAAAGTGTAAAACTGAAAGATGCAAGAATAGTATTCTTTTGAGTTATGTTTACAGTAGTTGAGAACTAGATATAATTTTGTTTCTTATTGTATATAGGAACTTGACACATACTTCTAACTTTGTGATTTTGTATCAGTTTTAAAATTGTAAATTATGCCGGATCATCTTTCCTTAATTGGCTGTAAATTATTACATTTGTAAATTATTGTATTTGTAAACGTTATCGCAGTTCAGCCCTTTGGCTGCAAGTTCTATCATCTGGGCTTTGATAGATTTTGCAAGTAAAATTTTTGGCATAATTCGTTCCACGAGAATAATTTTTATCTACTTTCGTAGAAAAGCTCTGCTAGCATAACTTTCAGTTTTGACTTGTTTTGCAGTACAAAATTGTCATTTATTGATCATGCAACCAATGTTTTTGGCCCGAGATCAGTGTTACTGACAAATCTAAGTTACAAAATCAATTATTTGTCTGTTTTTTCGTTTCACTAATGAGACCTGGGTCCCACAGGAAGTGACGCAGGACTCTTTCCACAGGACTTAAAGCACGCACATAACTTGCACGGTTACCCAAGATGGCGTCCGTAACAACAAGTGCATACAGTGATAATAGAGCGGGAATTTCTAATGAACTATGCACTAGTAACGTTCCTAGTAGTAAATAGGGTAAAATATGTTTACCATTTACTTGATTGTGAAAAGTTTGAACGCAGGAGTCATTTCATAAGTAGGTTGAATGTGATCGTCCGGGGGGAACGTAGTCCTGAATAGGACTGTTGTTGTTGACAGTGACTTACGTTTCGACAATCTGTGCGTTAGTAGTCTTCAGAGTCGAAGTGAGTTGTATCACGTCAGTTGATGGTATTAAACTCTGGTTACTGACCTGACTGGTCATTGAAATGGCGATGTTGTTGGTCGTCTGTCAGTTTAGCCTTGATGTTTATTGGCTTTGAAGACTCGTAATGACATTGGTGCGTTTCGATCCGTCTATTTTCACAGTTAAACAGTTCTTTATTGTTAGTCAAATTGTCAGTTGTCCAGTCATTTTCTCGTAGTTAGTTTTGCTTGATTGCGTCTATAAGTCGTTTGTACAGTGCCGGTAACTGTTGACTACGATTCAGTGGCGTTTGTTCTATATTAGTAAACCAGCTTTCCAAAATGAGTCGTTGATAGTAGTCTGTATAATACGTAATACTAGTCGCACAGTCCCAGTCGAGTTGATGTTTTGTCTGCAAATGGTGCTCAACGATTTGATTGTTGACGTCACCATTCTTCGTAGCTCGTTTGTGTTCGGTCAGTCGCGTGCTTAGGTTTCTACCGGTTCCATCAATGTAAGAAGCCTGGCAGTCGCAGCATTTGATCTTGTATTCTTCTCCTTGTCTGTCCTCAGGTTTTTCTTTGTCCTTGACATATTTAGTAACTAGTCGTTGTAAAGTGGTCATCCGTTTGTGTGCAACACGCATATCGTAAGGTTGTAGTATACGTGAGATAGTTTCAGAGGTGCCCCTGATGTACGGTATAGCCGCTTTCGTAACAGGGCCAGAGTTGACGTTGGTCTGAGTGTTGGAATCAGTGTTACTGTGAGTGTTCCGTCTAACAAGCGCTTAGAACGCATGCGGATAAGCGCTATATAAGTGTTATTATTATTATTAACAAAGTCCATGTTGTAGTTGGTTAGTTTAATTAAAAACGTTGTTTAGGTAGTCAGTCTCGTCTTGCAGGCTGTCAGGCGACTTGCAAACCAATAGACCCTTCCCGCATTACGCTCCAATGAGCAAACATAAAGAAAAAGGACGACGCTCGGGTGGACAATTTCATACACATCACTGTATTTTGTCCATCCGAGCTTCGAGCTGGTGCCTTTGTTTCGGGAATGCGGGAAAGGTCTATTGCGCTCGTCTTGTTTAAGTCCGTATAGTTGAAGCCTTGTCAGAGGTCGGCCGGGTTGAACGATGACTGGTCTAGTAATCTCTCGGTATGTTTTGGTTTTCTGTAAATTGTCGTTCGTAGTCTGTTGTTGTCGCGAGTGACCAAGCAATCTAGAAAATGCATTTTACCATTTTCCTCGATCTCCTTGGTAAACTGTATGTCCGCGTTCTGTCTGTTAGGGTGTTCGCGAAAATCGTCGATTTAGTGTTTGTGTACAGCGGTGAATGTGTCGTCAACGTAGCATAACCAAAGAGGTATAGTTCGCGTACAAGTAACTAGGGTTTGTTCCTCGACTTTTTGCGTAACAATTTCTGCTACAACAATAGAAACTGGAGAGCCATAGCTGTACCGTGTAACTGGCAAACACAGGTTGAGTAGGTCCATAATGTCGTGTGTAGGTAGTAGTAGTAGAGTTCTTAATAGCGTTCTCAGTACAGTCTAGAGCCAATTGAAGTGGAATACTGGTGAACAGTGATTTCACATCAAAAGATACTAGTTTGTGGTCGTCAGGTATCTGTATTGTCTTAATCACGTCAATTAAGTTCACAGTAGGCTGTAGTTTATGTATGTCCAGGTTTGTCAGTGAGAGGTTTCAGTTCGTTAGTTAAGTATTTAGACAGTTGGTAAGTCGGGGACCCACAGAAAGAAACTATGGGCCGCATAGGTAAGTTGGGTTTGTGTAGTTTCGGTAGTCCATACAGCTTGGGTGGTTGCGAAACACTACACCTCAGTCTGCTGTAGCGTCGACAGTCGATCTTGTCAGTTTTCTTCAGTGTAAGCAGTTTGTTGTTAAGTTTGCGTTGCAGTGCGGGTGTCGGGTCGCGTTCAAGTACTTCGTAGGTCCCTTTGTTGTTTACAGGGGCGTCCATTTTGTCTTCTACTTGATTGTTGCATAGGTCGTTTAGGTGTTTTTACCAGATTTAAAGTAAAAAGTAGAAGCATAATTTACAAAAACTAGCGTAGTTATTAGTAAGTTTAGAAATATATAAGTACTGCTAGTAGCATGTTATGCTACTTTTGGGAACACAATCTATCAAAGCCTATCCGGCAGTAGGAAAGGCTGCTTTGATATTACCAGCTGAACACGAATTTGAAAAGCAATTGCTATTATCTATTCTGCTCTACGACTAGCCAATACTGCCCAATTCTACAAGCAATCATCGGAAAGTTTACACCCAGTTATTTTACTTTTTAGGGCTAACAGCGCGCGCCTAGCGCCCTCCCCTCAGGATTCGAAAAAAAAGCGTGTTTCCAGGCTCTTCTACAAGACAGCAGGCCCCCCAGACTCAAAACAGAGTACTGGAGGCCAAATTATGAGGATTTGTATGGGAATTTATCGTAAGATCGATAACACTTTTAAACACGGATGTGAGTATTCAACTTTATTACACAAAGTTTTAACGTTTATTTAGTCGAAAGCCATGTCTACCATACTTATAGTAATATGAAAGAAATACAACAAAATTTCATGAAAAAATATCATGAGATATGAGACCCCTAATTAAACAATCGAGTGCTAATAAATTCAAGTACACTTTAAATCATTAAAACACCGAAGGAGTTCATGTTTACCGTTCGTTTTGCTATTTTATTTTGTTTACTATTGTTCTTGTGATGCTAAATACCCAGGAGGGGGCGGAGGGGGGAGTACTCCGGATTTCAAGTGACGGGGATGATCGAACGATATTTGGGGGTAGGAAAATCTGGCAAGCATTTTATTGGGAGGCCTAATTAAGGGTAGGGATTTTTGGGTGTTCAAAACAGTTTGAGGATACAGATGGTATGATAAATGGATCATTTTACGTTCCTGGAAAACTGTCCACCTACCCCTCCCCTAAGCCAACATTTTGTCCTAAGTAAGAAATAAGTGTTAATGTTGGTTTAGGGGAGGGGTAGGTGGGCAGTTTTACAGAAACGTAAAATGATCCTGATAAATAAATAAACACAAACATTCGATTTCCAATGTTTTTACTTTTTAGTGTTATATCATTTAATGCTCTCTGGAATTTTTTTTTGGGTCGGAAATTCGGCATGGGATTTTTTGGGTTTTGATTTTTGACCCCATTCGATCATCCCTGTTGCTTGAAATCCGGAGTACCCCCCACCCGATGGGGCTAAATACACTTTTAAATTATTAGGTCTTTGTACTGATAAATTCATCACACAAAAGCAGAAAGTGAACCATTTGTAGGTTTTGCAGGCTTTTCCTTAAATTTTCTCATTATCATCCAAAGGAATTCGCCTTCCTGATCATTGGAATCGACTTTCCGTTGATAATCGAGGTGTATGCACAGTTTCACTGACAAAAAGTTCTCCTGAGTACGAAGAAGTGTCTCAGATGTTTTTCGCCACAGCTGAGGGAGTTACTATTACCAGTATCGAACGCATTCAAAATCCTTGGCTATATCAAACCTACATTCTAACAAAAGAGAAAATGGATGAAAACAATAGTGGGAATAACGAGCGACATCTTTTCCACGCGACATCATTTGAGCGCCTCGAGCTCATCAATTTTCATGGATTCAAAAGAAACCAAAAAAAGAAACACGGTGAGTTAATTATTATTAGAATAATCAGTGTCAGTATTTAGTGAAGTGAACACATGATCGTGATCAATTCAGAGTTCAATGCTTTGCTTCGTTATTAGGGTACAATCCTTGCAACTCAAGTTTTCGTTAATGACAAAATAGATCTCGAACATTGCAGTGAAACCATTCGCCTGCTGCTTTTGGTTCCACTTGAATTTTGAACAACTTGACGTCATTTCTATCGTCGATCAGTAGGAGTACAGACCATGGAAAATTGTTGATGATTTGTTAATTCTAAAATGTTATTGTTTATAGCAAAGCGTTATGGGAAAGGTGTCTATTTTGCCAGAGACGCAAGCAAAAGTATGCTCTACGCAGACCCTGCAGGTGAGCAACGCTACATGTACATCGCCAGAGTCTTAGTTGGACATTACTGTCAAGGTGAAAAAGAAATGAAAGCACCCCCTCCACGAAATAGCACCGGGAGGCTATACGATTCCGCAGTTGACAAACCAGTAGATCCTGAAATATTTGTGATATTTCACGACACGCAGTGTTACCCTGAATATCTAATCACCTATAAGTAGAATGTATTATAGTATACTGAAAATGTTGCATCCGCTTGGGCCACGCTCTAACAATTTTGGTTCTATAGAGCGCAATTGCAGGCGTATTTTAGGGACGAGCAAAAATACTTGTTTATGTTCGTAACGCTATAGCCGCCATCTCTAATCTTTTGGCAGAGGAAGTTTGGGGAGAGTAGAAATACCTTTCAACATGGCGATTATGCCACAGGGAGCCCAGTCTCTTTGGGAGCTAAACTTTTGCCAGCATGTTATGTTTGTGTTGTGTGTTTTAATGAACAGTAAATAAATGGTAAAGGCCATACACGAGGTACAATTTTAAGAGTGATCAGCATCAAAGTTCTCCCTGTGCTGTCAATGCCTTATAAAACAAATGGGTGACAAGAATTAGGGGCGTGATCGCACAGGATTAATCGATCTGGTTGAAGGGTTACACGTAATTCTAAAACTCTCAATTATTTTGCCGCCCCAACCAAGTATGCTCAGCGCCCGAATTAAGAATTCTGGACCCTTAATGTTTATTTAGCATTTCACAATGAAAATAAATCCTCGCCAGATCATAGCTCTGATAAGTTGAAGGTTTAAGATTCTTCATCCTAAGTTAGTCATAGAAGTAGTCACCCGCTTTTCTCATTGTGAAAAGCGGTCTCAGGGCACTGGCGTATTGAAAATTGACCTTTTTTGCCCATTTAACAATGGCTATACTGGGGTCAATATCAAAACTTTTACAAGTGTAATTTACAAGTGTAGCTATTGTTTTCGGGCGCTAAAACAATAGCTACACTTGTAAATTACATTTTAAAAGTCTTATTAAATTGGCCCCTGTATTAGCGGAGCTCTCGTGCGCGCGAAGCACCATCAGTAAGAAAATTTGGTTATCTATGCATCCACGAAATTTTGTACGTCCACCCCTTCATATAAGGTGGGGTGAAATTTTGCATTTCAAGCACCCCGCATTTCGGCAGTAAATCGCATGGCCAACCGGACTTTCAGAGAGTAAAAAAACAACAAAGTCGAGTCATTTATTCGACTAAATTCTTATGCCTACACTGATGTGGATAACAGGGAAATAGCTAGAGCGAGAGATAAAAAAAAAAAAAGATGAATTTCGTTGGAAGAAAAACATGAAAATTTTATAGCGGCGGTGAGAAAGTGAGAAATGCTAGCGGGCATCAAGATGAAAATAAGCGGTAGTGAAAAGAAAAAAGGCGAACAGGAGCACATACTGCATTTCCTCCGTGCAACTAGGAAGTTTCACGTTATAGTCGTGCAAAACAACAATGTTCAAAAAAGTGTGCTGCACGTGCAAAGTTGTTTGTTTGTTTGTCTGTTTCTTTAGGCTAATTAATATTAGACCTACTGATTTTTTTGCCGTTCTCATTGCCGCCGCCCTTTTGCACTACACGATTTTATTTTTTGTTTGAGTAAACTATAAGTAAATTAACGAGAGGTTAGCTTTTAACCTTGGCTAAATGTATAGACTATTTTATGAAGTGTTGATATGACCTGCATTGTATTATGTCAGTACAAATGTGGACTAGAACAAAATAAGGCTGCATTAAGAGCAGAAAGGGCACTAGGGCCATTTGCACCATAACGTCACTTTACTACTACGACCAGAATCCCTTTCGCTTTTCCTTTCATATTTAAATTTGGCAACCCCAGTGAGATTTGAAAAACAATAGCTCTAATTTGCACAAGAAAACAAAATTCTTAGGGATTCGGGTCGTTGGTCGTAGTGGTCAAATGATGTTATCGTGCAAATGGCCTATTTGCGACACAAAGAATCAGGTCTATTGTGGTAAGCTGTTCTTAAATAGTCTACGTGGGCGTTTTTGTATCAAAGTGAAAACAGCCTAATCCTCGGTTTTGTGCGGCATACAAATGCATAATTGCAGTCAGTAACATAGAAAGTCTTCCGACTAAACATAATGATCTAAATTATATTTGCTCAAGCCATAAATATCGAGTTACCGAAGACAGTATAGGACGTTGGTTCTATTGCGCCTTGAATACGCTAGCGTGGTATAGTCGCCCCATACTAAAAAAAACACTACTAACTTAGAACAGGTGCAACGCAGAGCGACGAGATTCATTCTTGGTCTGAAGATTACTCTGAGCACGAGCGCCTTAGTAAATTAAGTCTATTATCATTACAGTATCGTAGAGAAATTATTAATATGTGTATAAATGTAAACATTATGAATTATGTGTCTTTTCGCACTTGCATCAAGCCGCTTAGAAAATACCATCTGACGCCAGATATCCCTTTTAGTAGGACAGAAACTTTATCCGTATTTGTCGCTTGTGGAATGATTTACCTCTAAAATTAGGGAGTCTTCATCCTTGTCAGTTTTTCGTAGGAATTTCCACAGGCTGCCCAAGCTCGGTGCATAAATTACCGTGTGTTTCGATACTGTTTTCTATATTACGAACGAGTTGTAGACTTTGTATGGACAATTTAATAAAACGTAGAAATATAGGCATGAATGTACAAATAAATTTCACTCACGCAAACTTGGGTTTGTTTTTACCTTTTCTGTGTAACCTGGGTTCAATTCATGGCCACTTTAGACGATTTTGCAGCTCGTTGTTTGCGAAGCAAAGTAGGTTACGGTGTGCAGTCTCAACTCACAAATCTCTCCCGCATCAAATAACCGGGCACCAATTCACCATGAAAGCGTCAGGTGAATCTCTTATCTCTTCCCCTTGTCATGGGTATTGCGATTTGTTTTTCGTGGGAAAATTTTTAGAAAGTTTTCGGTTCTGGGCAATCTTACGTGCGCTCTGGAACCTCGATGACTACGTGTTGCGTGGTGAACGCGAACATGGACCCACGGGATCCGGGAAATCAATATTGCATGACAAAACATGAATCTTCTTACCCTCAGGTAGTCTAATGATTGCGCGCGAGTGGTGTTTGGAATTATCCAATTGGATGAACGTATATAAAATGTTCCCGTTCACCACGCAACGCGTAGTCATCGAGTTTCCTGAGCGCACTCAGATTTCCAAGAGCCGAAAACTGTCAAAAATATGCAAAAAATAATTCGTAATATGCAAAACAGTATCCAAACACGCGGTAATTTGTGCACCGAGCTTGGGCCGCCTGTGGAATCTCATTTCCATTTAGTAACATGTTTCTAATTGTATTCAGTTTATCCTTTTTAAATTGTATGATAATTGACAAGTTGTTCAAGTAACAGCAAGTCGCTTATTTTTAAGGAATCCTTTATCCTGCTTTAAGCCTACATTAGATTATTAGTATTTAGTCAGTTTTACTGATATTGTAATCTGGAACTTGATCAAAGTTACTGCCAACTATAAACTTTAAAGCATGCCAGCTTTTAGAAATAGCGTTAGCGGACTTTAACTAAGAACTGGATTTGAAGGTTTACCGCCTGTCTAAATGGCAGCATCACTTTCATCACTTCATTGTTTTATATAAATATATCATAGCCATATAATTAGCTCATAAAACAATTAATTACGTAAATTTCGGCTAAATTTGTGATTAAAATCACATTGACAGTAATATAACTGCTAATGTAGCGTATTTGTAACTTCTGTTTTCCTACTTTTTCTTTACTTTTTTCCTGTTAGTAGTTTTGCATGTTACCTTTTACCCTCTATAAAAAAGACAATAAATATAAGTGTTTCGAGTGTATTATCAACGTAAAGCTTATGGTCACTATCACACTGTTCTAGTGCAGAACTGGAATATCGGTTTCTTAAGTCCACAGTGCAATAAGGTTTCCTTATAGTATTTTATTCAGCTATCCAACACCTTTCTTAACGCACTTTTCCATTGTTTTGGACTGGTTGATTGTAATCAACTAGTGACAGTAATTAATGCCTTAGTATTTAGTAGAGTACTGTTCCAAAGTGTGGTCGGACACCTCGAACAAAAATATCTCTAGACTACGGTCGACGTCAGTGCAGAACTTTGCTGCGCGCATTATTACAGGGAACAGGAAGTTTAAAAACACAACTCCTGATCTATGTTAAAAAGTTTCCCATGAAGCAAAATTTGTTCTTCATGGCATGTCAATGTACATTGTGTATGACTGGGTATTAGCACCCCGTTACTTAAGCGATCGATTTACCACAAGAATTGTGGTCATGGGGCATGTGACCCGAAGTTGTCAACTGTCAAACATCCCCTTGTATAAATCGAATGCTGGCCAGGAAACCTTTTACTACTATATAGTGCACAAAACTCTGGAACAATCTAGACAAAACTCTTAAAACTGCAAAATCGATTCCTACTTTTGAATTTTACCTGAAAAATAAATTGATTAGTACTGACTTTTTAAATAAAACGAAGGGGGTGGATTTTTTATCGATCCCCGCCTACCACCTGCACTCCATGTCACTATTTTTAAGAAGGCTCACGCAAAGATTCCAACCCTGTCCACTGAAAAAGGGAGGTTCTTTCGCGCACGAGCACTGAACGCGCAAGCCTCTAACGGGTCCGAGGGCTTGATAGACCTGGAAACATTTTAAGATATATACGTGCCTCTAACCGAAAACCTTGCACAAAGTCGAGGCAATTCAGTGCATCACCGCGCCCAAAATAACGCAGGCTCACGCTTGGATGGCGAAAGGTATAAAAAATGGCTGAGAAACCACAGATAAACGGCCAAGACTCGTGCTAAAAAGACTGGTTAAACAAAGAAAAGAAGAATTTCAAAAACCGGGAGAATATTAAGCGAAAACGGGAGGCCGGACGTGTTTGCTGAAAACGGAACGATTTCGGCCAAAACGGGAGGGTTGGAATCTCTGCTCAGGCATGGTTAAAGCGAGGTTTCCTGTAATACTTTCACAGGTTTACTCACCGATTCCTGTGTGAATGACTTCAACATCTGGATTCTCAACTCAGCATTGTTCCAAATAATTTACTATACTGTTGGTGTCTTCTTCCATATCTTCTCTAAAATTGTTGAAAAATGGTACTAAAATCTAATTCAAACACAACTCTGTTGCAAGTTTTCTTTCGGTGCACTGAAATGCATTATGGGTGATGGGAGTCCAGGTCCTTTCTTTAAAAGGGTGAGTGGGGGAGGGAGGGGATCGAGCTGGTCTTAACAACAAATGTGATACTGAATCTGAAGTATGAGATAAGGACAGAAGCTAGTGGCGTGAGTGCTTTTTGTCATGTGTTTAATCATTGACTCCCTCGCTCGCTTCCCGTCGTTCATTCCGCTCCTATTATCTACAATTGTAGACACATGCGATCAGCTGTGTCTTGTTATCAGACTACCAAACATGATGCGATATTTCAGAAACTCTTAAAAGCTATAAGCATCCTGGCCAAGCTATTGGCTTCTAATTGCGTTTTTTGTGAGAATTATCTTTATAGTGATCAAATATCGACTTGAATAACTGCCAGAAATACTGCAACTGGACAAAAAACAAAATGACCCAAAAATAGGAGACCACGAATGGACTCGAACTCTCAGTCCGCGGACGTCTTATGTCCCTAATCCATTAGTCAACGCGGCCAACTACGTCAATTTCCCAAACAAACTTTACCATCCAAAAGAAGCATATTTGTCTTACCATGAAAAATAGTTATTTTTATTAGAGGCTTATTCTTCTTTTGTGGGTGGGCAAAGAGGCGATGACAATGAGACACCGACAATATGATATTTTAGTCCGTCGTTACCCTGCTAATAAACCTTTCAAAAGTTTCTGCCTCCACTGA